CGCATCACAGCACAGCTAAATCTCTATCTCTGCATCTGTAGCTGCTCATCAGGATGAACCGAAAAGGGCCGAGAACTCCATCAAAACATTACCTTTATTACATCGCCTTAGGTGAACTCTATGTTGAACTGCTCATCATAGCAAATACAACATAGAATTTCACACATGTAGTTCCTTAAACACACACAAAAACATTACTGCTTCAGAAGCATCATCAGCAGGGTTTCATGCAGAAGCAGACTAACATCGGAGGTTCCAAGGAGGTGATCACGCACTTCCCTCCTGTGTAGCCCTCGCTGTGGCAGTTCTTGACGCACGTATCACGCACACATAAGAGAGTAATGTAGGTCTGGCTGACCGTCGCGCAGGTATGATCTTCGGACCCTGCAGTAAACAATAAGGACATCATTTTGCACAGCAGCGTCAGAAAAAAGAATAGAGTACTGAGAAACTGTTTTATATTCATCGCATAATTATTCCAAGCAAGGCTTACCAGGAAGCAACATGAGTGCCATGAGCAAGAGCAAGCACAAGTCTGGCATCTTGACCTTGGGAGCCTCCATGTATGAAGCTGTCGGAGAGGAGAGACAGAGCATTCTCTTCTTATAGCCATGGATGAGCAGACCGTATTAAAAGAAAAGAAAAACTATGTAGAAGAAAGTGAGTATGATGCAATTATATCTAGAAAATGCAAAGATGTGTTGTACCTTCAAAAGCACTATTGAGGCTTGATGGAAGATATGCATCATTTAATATGTGGAGAGTACATTACATGGATAGAAATGCAGACATCTTAAAGCTTTAACCAATTAAAGTTGTTGCACAATGCACATCAGATAAATAAAGTATTGGTTTTGCATCAACTTTTGCACAGTGCAATATTTTTCCATGCTAAAAAACAGTGACATGAAGTCGTGTCTACACTAAACAGCGGGTCATAATGCGAAGCATATTAAAGAAAATGGAACGAAAGAAACATGATGTGTCGACGAACTAGGAACAATGTGTCAGATCCTATAGAGGGAAACAGCAGATGACAGAAATATCTGGAAGGCGGTCAAGCTGAATGGTTTTCTTATATTTTGGCACACATGTTCCTTTTCGAGGTTTAAATGATCAATAAAGTTAGATTTGCCAGCAACTTTTGAGCAGCTTGAAGAAAGTGTTTACAAGCTGCAAGCAGATCAAAATTTCCATAGGGCCCATGTATGTACCAGAAGCTAACATGTGTGGGTCGATGGTCTGAAGATCAAATGAAACTCTCTGCTGAACATTACTGAATAATAATTATGCAAAGCGGCTAGCACGTGTATAGTTTTTGGCTTGTTCCTGCATTATGTTGTCATTTACAGTTCCAAGTAAATATATCAGCACGTGGATATATCAGCGCTACATTTTCTCCCGATTTTCCATTTACAGTTCCAAGCCTCAGACAGATGAGGGGGTGACTTTAAGGGAGTAAAAAAGGCTCTTCATGTTCTAGGTTAAGGAAAACAAAAATAGTACACCATGGACTTACTATATACTGTATATGATTACAACTAAATGTAAATTATTTAGTTAAATGTTCTCATTTTGAGAGGGAAACATGTGAGTTTAGACTGTAAATAAACATTTGTCCATTAGAGATTGTTATTTAAAAATGTTTAAGTAACACTAAACATAGATTAGCATGCAAACAATGCAGATGATATAGTCAGCAGCTATGTTTGTATTTCTGCATTTGTAGCCTGTTCCATTGATTCCAGTAGGAGAAGACAAGGGCATCATTCTCTCCTTATTTAGATCAAAAACAATTACATCATTCATGTGCTTCCTGCTCATCAGGATGAACCCAAAAGGGCGGCGATCCCTGTCGCTATTTTACCTTTGTATCACCTTAGGTGAATTCTAAGCTGAAGTTCACATGGTTCCTTGAACACACACACAAAGTTTCTACCATCCTATCTAAAACAGTAAAACTATTACTGCTCCACATCAAACAAAACACACCTATTTCCACAGTAACAACAACATTGCATCTAAAAGTAATACTGTTGGCTAACAAGTTACAAGACACTTCTGATTTAGCCCGGTCTCAAGCACCCACCAGGAAGTAAGAACCTGTAGCTGTCCGCGTTCCTGATCAAATAGGATGGAAGATGAACAGCGGACGCTGACCTCGGTATCCGCCCCATCTTCTTGAAGAGATCACTAAACGTGTACTCCTCAGGTAGCATGTCAAAAATGTTATCCCCATTGCATATGACTCTCTGGATCCTGTCAGGGTTCAGGAAGATGTCATGTTTCACCCGGTCTGCATGGCTGTATGCCTTCATCTTGAAAGCAAACTCCTTGATCTCCCTGAAGCAGAAGCTGCAGTGCCAGCCCGCGTCGGCCAGCATCAGGTCGGTCTGGCGGGAGTGTTGATACTTGGTCCGCTCGGTGAACACATGCGCTGTCGTTCTCCAGCTGTTTTGATCCACATGAAATTCAAAGGAGTACATATAGTTTTTTAGCTCGAGATGCATGATTGGCGGTATTCCATCACACCACTTCAGCAACTGCACGGTTTCAGGACTGGGGATCTCATCGGCATCAGCCATGATCAAGACATCCCCCACAGCAATGCCTGATCTTTTTAGCAGGTTGTTAAGTGCACGGCGGTGACCGGCTTCTACAAGGAAGGGCATTCGGCGAGAATCAGGATCCAAATCTCCAATGGGAAGCATGTCATAGACAATCTTTGAGCTAGCAAATGCGAAACGGTTGAGGTTTTCAAAGAAGGTGAGTGACTTTGGGATGCCAGTGAAGGTAGCATTCGCTTCAAGGATGACAAACCTGTCAACATACGGAAAGAGCTCATGGTAGCGGATTTCCAGAATATCGAGCTCATTGCTGAAGAGAACAGCATCAAAGACACGGCGAGGGAAGGAGAGAATGCCCCAGCCATGGAGCTGACACAGCTGGTCCATGGACATGTTAGGGGCATAGTAGTGCGGGATACGGGAGAAGGGCTTTGGTGGTGTGTCCCACAGCGGCCGCAGAAAGTAGGAGATACTTTGGAAGTACTGGGTGACAGCAATAACAGAAACTGAAAGAACTAGAACGAAGGGTATCAGGAACTTGAAAGCCAAAGTACTTCTTCTTCTAGTTGCATGAGGCAGATTCACCGAGTTTCCCGCCATGCGACTGTCTTGTTTCATTGGCAAGGAAAGAAATGAGCGAGTCTCGGAGAAGCATATGAGAGTGCCCCAAGCACTCTCTCTTCCTGGGGAACACGGCAATATCGGAAGCTGAATGCAACCTGCATTATGCAAGAGGGAACAGAAAATAAGTAAACAAGGAGAAGAAAGTGGTACAGGAAGCAACATAACTTAGACAAAATAAACATACAGGTAAGATTCTCAGTCTACGAAGTAGAATGGGGATGAGTTACAGCTACACACAGACTCTTGTGAATTTGTGATGCAACTGACTTGTTCTTTAAATGCACACATTCATATACATGTACGACAAGACAAGGAGCCATGAAATTGATGCTTATATGCCAAGATAAACAAGCCGCTATTGCATTTCAGCATTTGCATCAACCAAATAAGGAAGAAAATGAAAGTGCAGCATAACACCAGAGCAGAGCTAGCATCATCTGTTGTCACGGCATTCTTGCCAGTAAACCCCAACAAGCATGATCTAACTGCTCGTGTACTGTCAACAGCATAGCCACCCCAATCTATCAACCACACAAACAAGTACGTATTTGAGATTCCAACAGCTAGGACCCATTGCAGTCTGGTGATCCCTCCTATATGCCTGATGGGTCACCGCGATGCGGAAAACTCACACCCATTCTGATAGCAACACAGGTAAGATGGCAAGCCCCTGTTGCCCAGATCAAACTGAAATGCATCTGTATGCCCAATTTGGTGTCCAACCAATCCGCATCCCCACCTCCTGTTACCATCATTCAGAAGCAAGCAGCAGTCTCGCCCAAATCAGACTGAAACTGCACCTTAGATCACACTGCCAATGCCATGCCATGCCATCGGTTTTCCCCCATTGCTGTTTCTATTATAGAACGAAAACAGCATCGTAGTGACCGCAAAAACAAGAGAGGCCGCCTTACCCTACCCTACACGCCGCCACCTAGCGACTCCCCGCCCCGATTGGTGGCTCGGACCGAATCCCTTCTCAAATCGGCAGGCGCCAAATCCAACCAGAGCCAAATCTCGCTCTCTGCTCCATATCTCAGAGCCGGAGAAGAGGCGGAAGAGGCCGTACTGGGTCTGGGCGGGATGTCGAGGAACAGAGCAGAGATGGCGGAGCGAGTCTCACCTCAGGGGAGACGACGACGGCGGCGGCGGCGACGAACGAGGAGACGAAGACCGCGACGGAGACGGAGACGGAGACGGGGGCGGCGACGAAGGCGGAGGCGGGGGGCGCACCGCGATCTGCTGGCCTCATTTAATCAGCGGCCCCCATGGATCGCTCTCGTCCCCCTCCATGCTGCTAAATTTAGGGAGGCGAGGAAGGAAAAGCAGGGGATGCGGGGTGGATTCGCTTTTGGCTTGGCGTTGCGGGGCGGTGGGATGTGCGACTGGTGTTGCTTTGGCCTTGGGTTTGGGTTCGCCACTCCACTCCCCCTCGGGAACGGGATGGGATGGGATGGGAAGGAAGAACACGAGGAGGGGTGGGTGGGTGGGTGGACGGGGGTCGTGATCCTCTGCATGCGTCAACCGTGTGACAACTAGGTTGGTAAACTCGTCACTCGTGCAAGACAAAAGTCCTCATGTTTGTAGCCGGACCACTCACCAACAGGCCGGGCAAGGCTGTCTTTAAAAATAAATAAAAAACAGGGAACTCAGGTTCCATTAAACTCCAGGGACAGCAGTTGAGCGGGCGTCCAAACCCGCCTCATACGTCTGGACGGGCCATCCAGTTATCGGTCATGAAATTTTGATTCAGACGAACGCCTCAAACATGACTCAAACGTCCGGGCTAACCGGCACCCTTTAAATTCAGCTCAAATATGGGATGGATATGGGGCGCCCGGACACGTCATGTCGGACCCGACAGGCTGACCTCACCGCAAATTGCATCAAATCCATCAAATCGACCTACCGGATCCATTCGCTCTCTCCTCTCTTCTTCCTACTCCTCGGCGTCCGTCTCCCCGCTCCGCTGCCGCCTGCGCCCCGCAGCCGTTCCTAGCCTCTACGCCGCTACCTCCGGCAGAGCAATCCTCTCTCCCGTCCTCACCGCCGGGGACGTCGTCGTCGGCCCGCACCCCACCACGGTACGTCTAGCAACTCTCTGGCTCCGCCTTTGCACTCTATGTGTTTGATACATTGTCTGACTGTATTTTTTGTGATTCTTTAGGGAAAACGATGAATTTCCATGCTTCGCCGGGCGAGGGGTATGGACCCACGGAGCTTGATCAAATGATTCAAGATGAGTTCTTCGATACCTCATATTCGGACGAAGAAGTGGACGCGATCATGCTCATGAGCATGCAAGAGGAAATGGGTCGGCAGGTGGAGCATATTATCAATTTCAAGGGCTCAATCGAAGGGGAAGAGTGATCAATCGAGATAGGGTGTCCGGAGCACAGCTATTGCAGAATGACTACTTTTCTTCGAACCCAACTTTTTTGGATGATCCATGGTTTTGTCGCTGTTTCCGCATGCGAAAATGTTCTTACACATTGTGGAGGGAGTGGAGGCACATAATGACTACTTCAAGCTCACATGATGACTACTTCAAGCTCAAGAGGGATTGATGCGGCCAACTTTCTTTCTTTGCTAAGTGATGTGTCCATTTTGCATCATGTTTTTGTACTGTTATTTATAATATTTTTATTATTATTTTCTTTTATGATGTAATTCTAATGCATCTTCTCTCTTAATTTGCAAGATATACATGGAGAAGGAAATTACCGACAGATGGAATTTTGGACCTAAAAAGCGACATCAGACATACCTATTCTATAGAGCTACAAATGACCTAAAACTTCACGAAGATAAATACTAGAGGGGGGCCACCCGCTGCCCACAAGGCAACAGGGCGTGGTCACCCCCCGGGCGCACCCTAATGCCTTGTGGGGCCCACAGCTGGCCTCCGGCCCCTTCCTTCTGCTATATGAAGTCAATTGCCCTAAAAAAATACACAAAGAACTTTTGGGACGAAGCACCGTCGTCTCGAGGCGGAACCTGGACAGGAGCACTTTTACTCTCCAACAGAGCGATTCCGTCAGGGATACTTCCCTCCGGGAAGAGAAAATCAAAGCCATCGACATCACCAACAATCCTCTCATCATGGGAGGATCAATGTTCATCAACATCCTCACCAGCATCATCTCATCTCAAACCCTAGTTTATCTCTTGTATTCAATCTTTATATCAAAATGTCATATTGGTACCTGTGGGTTGCTAGTAGCTAGTGTTGGTTACATCTCGTAGTTGATGCTAGTTGGTTTATTAGGTGAAAGATTATATGTTCAGATCCTTAATGAAATTTAATACTCCTCTGATCTTGAACATGAATATGATTGTGAGTAGTTACTTTTGTTCTTGAGGACATGTGAGAAGTCTTGTTATAAGTAATCATGTGAATTTGTTATTAGTTCGATATTTTGATGATATGTATGTTGTTGCTTTCTTTAGTGGTGTCGTGTGAACGTCGACTACATGCTTCATCATATTTGAGCCTAAGGAAAAAGACATCGTGGAGTAATAAATAGATGATAGGTTTCTAGAGTGACTAAAGTTTAAACCCTAGTATATACGTACTTCTGTCACTACTAGGAAAAGGGCTACAGATGGAAATGACACTAATGGCGCACTAGACATGTGGTGCGCCATTACTATATACTAATGGCGCATCATTTGTTGGTGCGCCATTAGTGTGGAAGATACTAATGGTGCACCAGGCACACGGTGCGCCACTAGTAACAAAATGTTTTTTTTTCATTTTCTCAAACATACTAATGGCGCATCCGGGCAGAGTGCGCCATTAGTAGTTAAAACTACTAATGACGCACCAGCCCTAGAGTGCGCCACTACTGTATTTTTTTTACTTTTTTGCAAAACTACTAATGACGCATCGTTGCATAGTGCGCCATTACTAGTTTAAACTAGTAATGGGCATTTTTTTTTACTTTTTGATATCACGAATATTTTTAAATTTCATGGGCACTTTTTGAATTCATGAATATTTTTTCAAATTTGATGATATTTTTTCATATTCCATATGAAAAAATATTGGATATTCATGAGGACACTCGATCTCGATCCCCCTCCCTCTCGATAGCTATCCCCCTCGCCAGATCCCCCTCGCCGCCGAGCACCCCCCGCACCCTCCCC